ACAGGTGTCATACAGTTACTAAGAGAATACGAATGCCAGCCCAGACGACTATACCCAGCAAAACTCTCAATTGCCATAGATGAGAAACGAAGATATTCCATGACAAAACCAAATTTACACAATATCTTTTCACAAATACAGCCCTACCAAAGATGATAGATGGAAAACTCCAATGGAAGGAGGGAAACTACCACCTAGAAAAAACAAAAAATCTTTTTCCAACAAATCCAAAAGAAGTTAGCCACAAAACATTATTCCACTTTAAACCACAAAAATAAGAGGAAGCAACAATCACTTTTCCTTAATATCTTTTAGCATCAAGGGACTCAATTCCTCAATAAAAAGACATAAACTAACAGAATGGATACATAAACAGGATTCAGCATTTTGCTGCATACAGGAAATGCACCTCAGTGACAAAGATAGACACTACCTTAGAGTAAAAGGACGGAAAACAATTTTCCAAGCAAATGGTCCCAAGAAACAAGCTGGAATAGCCATTCTAATATTGAATAAAATCAACTTTCAACCAAAAGTTATCAAAAAAGTTTCGGAAGGACATCTCATACTTGTCAAACGAAAAATCTACCAAGATGAACTCCCAATTCTAAACATCTATGCTCCAAATTCAAGGGTACCTACATTCATAAAATAAACTTTAATAAAGCTCAAAGCATACATTGCACCTCACACAGTAATAGTGGGAGACTTCAACACCGCACTCTCAGCAATGGGCAGATCATGGAAACAGAAACTAAACAGAGACACTTTGAAATTAACTGAAGTTATGAACCAAATGGATTTAACAGCTATACATAGAACATTTCATCCTAAAACAAAAGAATATACCTTCTTCTCAGCATCTCTTGGCACCTTCTCCAAATTGAGCATATAATTGGTCACAAAATAGACCTCAACATGAAGATTGAAATAATCCCATGCATCCTATCATATCACCACAGACTGAGGCTGGTCTTCAGTAACAACAAAAACAATGGAAAGCCCACATACACATTGAAGCTGAACAACTCTCTATTCCACAATAACTTAGTCAAGGAAGAAATACAGAAAGAAATGAAAGACTTTTTAGAATTTAATGAAAGTGTAGGCTCATCATTCCAAAACTTATGGGACTCAATGATAGCAGTGCTAAGAGGAAAACTCATTGCTCTAAGCACCTACAAAACGAAACTGGAGAGAGCATACACTAGCAGCCTGACAACACACCTGAAAGCTCTAGAACAAAAAGAAGCAAACACACCCAAGAAGAGTAGACAACAGGAAATAGTCAAACTCAGGGCTGAAATCAACCAAGTAGAAACCAAAAGAACACTACGAAGAATCAACAAAACTAGGAGCTGGTTCTTTGAGAAAATCAACAAGATAGATAAATCCTTAGCCAGTCTAACCAGAGAGCAAAGAGACAGTATCCAAATTAACAAAATCAGAATTGAAAAGGGAGATATAACAATGGAAACTGAGGAAATTTAGAACAATCATCTGATCCTACTACAAAGGCCTATACTCAACAAAGCTGGAAAATCTGGAGGAAATGGACAATTTTCTAGACAGAGACCAGGTACCAAAGTTGTAACAGGATCAAATAAACCATCTAAACTGTCCCATAACCCCTAAAGAAATAGAAGCAGTCTTTAAAAGTCTCTCAACCAAAAAAAGCCCAGGACTAGATGGATTTAGTGCAGAATTCTATCAGACCTTCAAGGAAGACCTAATACCAAATCTCTTCAGACTTTTCCAAATAATAGAAACAGAAGGAACACTACCCAATTTGTTCTATGAAGCCACAATTACACTTATATCTAAACCACAGAAAGACCCAGAAAAGAAAGAGAACTTCAGAACAATTTCCCTTATGAATATCGATGCAAAAATACTCAATAAAATTTTTACAAGCTGAATTCAAGAACACATCAAAACAATCCTCCATCATGATCAAGGAGGTTTCATCCCAGGAATGCAGGTATTGTTCAATATATGAAAATCCATCAACTTAATCCACTATATAATCAAACTCAAAGGAAAAAAACCCATCTCATTGGATGCTGAGAAAGCATTTGACAACATTTAACACCCCTTCATGGTAAAAACTGTAGAAAGATCAGGAATTCATGACCCATAGCCAACATTAAACTAAATGGAGAGAAATTTGAAGCAATTTCACTAAAATCAGAGACTAGACCTGTCTGTCTACCCACTCTCTCCCTGCCTATTCAATACAGTACTCAAAGTCCTAGGCAGAGCAATTAGAAAACAAAAGGAGGTCAAAGGGATACACATTGGAAAGGAGAAAGTGAAATGTCACTATTTGCAGATGATATGATAGCATACTTAAGAGACCCAAAAACTTCCACTAGAGTACCCCTAAACCTGATAAACACCTTCAGCAGAGTGGCTGGATATAAAATTAATTCAAACAAATCATTAGCCTTCCTCTATTCAAAAGATTAACAGGCTGAGAAAAAAATAAGGACAGTGACACCCTTAATAGTCATAAATAATATAAAATACCTTGGTGTGAATCTAACCAAGTGAGTGAAATATTTGTATGACAAGAACTTCAAGTCTCTGAAGAAAGAAATCGAAGCTCTCAGAAGACGGAAAGATCTCCCATGCTCATGAGTTGGCAAGATTAATATAGTAAAATGGCCATTTTGTCTATACATTCAATGCAATCCCCATCAAAATTCCAACTCAATTCTTCATTGAGTTGGAAAAAGCAATTCTTGAATTCATTTGGGATAACAAAACAACAACAACAACAACAAACAGGAAAGGGAAAACTATTCTCAACAATAAAAGAACTTCTGGGGAAATCACCATCCCTGACCTCAAGCTGTATTACAGACCAATAGTGATAAAACTGCGTGGTATTGGTACAGAGACATGTAAGAAGATCAATGGAATAAAATTGAAGACCCAGAAATGAACCCACACACCTATGGTCACTTGATCTTTGACAAAGGAGCTAAAACTATCCAGTGGAAAAAAAAGACAGCATTTTCTACAAATAGTACTGGTTCAACTGGAGGTCAACATGTAGAAAAATGCAAACTGATCCATTTTTATCTCCTTCTTACAAAGCTCAAGCCCAAGTGGATAAAGGACCTCTACATAAAACCAGATACACTGAAACTAATAGAAGAGAAAGTGGGAAAGAGCCTTGAACATATGAGCACAGGGGAAAATTTCCTGAACAGAGCACCAATGGTTTATGCTCTAAGATCAAGAATTGACAAATGGGACCTCATAAAATTACAAAGCTTCTATAAGGCAAAGGACACTGTCAACAGGGCAAAATGGCAACCAACAGATTGGGAAAAGATCTTTTTCAATCTTACATCTGATAGAGGGCTAATACCTAATACGTACAAACAACCCAAGCAGTTAGACTTTAGAGAACAAATAACCCTATTAAAAATCGTGTACACAGCTCAACAAAGAATTTTCAACTGAAGAAGCTCGAATGGCCGAGAAACACCTAAAGTAGTGTTCAACATCCTTAGCTATCATGAAATGCAAATCAAAACAACTCTGAGATTCCATCTGACACCAGTCAGAATGGCTAAGATAAAAAACTCATGTGATAGCAGATGCTGGCAAGGATGTGGAGAAAGAGGAACATTCCTTCAGTGTTGGTGGGATTGTAAGCTGGTACAACTACTCTGGAAATCAGTCTGGAAGTTCCTCAGAAAATTTGACATAGTGTTAACTGAGGATCCAGCTACACCACTCCTTGGCATATACCCAAAAGGTGCTCCAACATATAACAAAGAAACTTGCTTCACTATGTTCATAGCAGCCTTTTTTTAAAAAAAATAATAACCAGAAGCTGGAAAGAACCCAGATGTCCTTCAATAGAGGAATGGATACAGAAAATGTGGTACATCTACACAATGGAGTACTACTCAGCTATTAAAAACAATGAATTCATGAAATTCTTAGGCAAATGCACGGAACTAGAAAATATCCTGAGTAATGTAACCCAATCCCAAAAGAAGGCACATGGTATGCACCCATTGATAAGTGGATATTAGCCCAAAATCTCACAATACCCAAGACAACTCACAGACCACATGAAGCTCAAGAAGAAGGAACATCAGTGTTTGGATGCTTCAGTACTTATTATAACGGAAAACAAAATACTCACAGGAGGAAATATGGAGACAAAATATCGAGCCAAGACTGAAGAAAAGGCCATCAGAATCTGCTCCACTTAGGGATCCATCCCATATACAGTCACCAAACCCAGACACTATTATGTATGTCAAGAAGTACATGCTGACAGGAGTCTGATATAGCTGTCTCCTGAGAGGCTGTCAGAGCCTGACAAATACAGAGGTGGATGCTCACAGCCAACCATTTTACTAAGCATGGGAACCTCAATGGAGGAATTGGAGAAAGGACTGAAGTAGCTGAAGGGGTTTGCAACCCATGGGAAAAATAACATCAACCAATCAGACCCCTCACAGGTCCTAGTGACTGAGTCCCCAACCAAGGAGTACACATGGAGGGACTTGTACTCTACTGTTGCTGCTAGTCCTGGTGATCATCCCATGATACTGGCATCTCTAATATGCTGGGGCCTTCTGATACATCTAGGCATTACCAATAGCCTCACATAGTTTCTCTTCATGGTGCCAAGCCTCAAATTCTTTGCATGACACCTTCAGTCCTGGCCATCAACTGCAACTGAGGCTGCACTTTCACTAATGGCCTTTCATGGCCTCTCACAGTGTTGAACCTCAGCTGCTCTTCATGACCCCTTCATGCCTTCAAAATCAGTACCACCTGGGTGACTCTTACACATTACCAAGTACAGCTGCTGCAGGATGTATAACCTTAATTATCTCTTGAACACAGCTTTTTTGGGCTCTCAGTAAAAACCTTCCCATAAGATTTCACCTCAGTGATGTTGGTCTCTTCTTTTTTTAATTTTATTTTTATTGGATATTTTCTTTTTTCTTTTTTTTTTCCCAAAAATATATAGGCAAGCTGAGTGGCAGCTGCAGGCACTGTGATAACCTGGTCTATCAAAGTCTCTCCATTACTTTGGCACGTGGATATTTTCATTATTTACATTTCAAATGTTATCCCCTTTCCCAGTTTCCCATCCCACCCAGAAACTCCCATCCCATCCCCTCTGCCCCTGCCTCCATGAGGGTGTTCCCCTACCAACACACTCCCTTTTCCTCACCCTTGCATTCCCCTACAATGGGAGAATGATACCATTTTTTTGTCAAACAACTAGAAAAATCAATCCTATTATTATTGAAGCACTGAAGACTCAGAACAGCTAATACTGACCAAGAGCAGCAGTTTTTAAGCACCATATTAGCTGAATGAAGCAGCAGTAGAAACAGACATGACTTTACGGAATTTTCAATCATTTGATTCTCAATAAGTATGCCAAAATTATGCATTGGAGAAAGATCAACTCATCAACAAATGCATTTACTTAAAGCTACACAGTTGACACAAAAAAGAAAGGAAGAAAAGAAGGAAGGAAAGAAAGAAAAATGAAAGAAGATTAGGGACTCCAATTTTCTCAAATCTTTTCTACTCATTAGGTGTGCTTTCCTCTACATTAATTAGTATTCCATGGTAAATAATTTATAAGGCAAACAAAATAACACCATCAATCAGTAGCACCATATTAACATAACTTAGAATTATACCCTGCATATACACGTGACGTGTCACCTATTGTTTGCTGGATTGTTGATACACTGCCACATAAATGACTGCTGAATGTCACATTCCTGGAGACTCCACCCACCTCATCCCTGAAGTATCTGTAAAATGGAAACTATCATCTCCCAAACTCTGACCATAAATTCCACCAAAATATGTGTAGGGGAATAATAGTTCAGAAGAGGGAAAAATAAAAGCGGTGAAGTAACCAACAGACCATAGAAAAGATTATTTGGAAAAAAGGCAATTTTACTTATATCAAAGCATGGTGAAAGTCCAATACCTTCTCTCCAAGGTTGGTGAAAGTAGCTACATTTTAGTATTTAAATGATATGCACAGATGAAAAGTGGTATGTCCAGTCAGTCATATCTGGGATGCCACTGCCCTCATCCACACTTAGAAACTTCTGTCAGAAGTCATGACAACACCCCATTTAATACTCAACAGGAAATGGATAATTGACAATAAACACATAAAATGCGACGTCTCTGGACTTGATGACAGAATTAAAGTTAATTGTTTTATTCTCTTGTGGGAGGTAGAATTAATCATAAAAGTAAAACAAGGAAACACAAAATTTTCATGGAATTTGGTAGAAGATAGTCTAGCATATATATGTTTGTATATATATATATATATATATATATATATATATATATATTACATATATATATTACAAGTATATATACAAGTATGATAAATATAAGTATGATAAATTGACTATAAAATGTAATAGGCATGTATACTGTAATAGGCATCTCCCAATCTCAACTAATTTTCATACCTCCATGCATATCTCCTTCCAAAAGAGTGTGTTATTTCTTCACCCAATGCCTGATTGGTACCCTGTTGTCATTAAGATTGTAATTGCTGGTCTTTTTTTGGTCTTCCTATAGGGTCGCCCTCTTCCTCAGCTTCTTCCAGCCTTTCCCTAATTCACCCATAGGGGTTACCAGCTTCTGTTCATTGGTTTGATGTAAATATCGGCATCTGATTCAGCTGCTTGTTGGTCCTTTTGGGGGACAGTCATGATAGACCTCTGTTTGTAAGCATAGGAAGACTAGTATTCTCAACTAACCTGCATCCCCAGGATCTCCCAGACACTGAGCCACCAACCAGGCAGCATATACCATCTGAAATGAGGCCCCCAGCACATATAGAGCAGAGGACTGCCTGGTCTGGCCTCAGTCAGAAAAGATGCACCTAACCCTGGGAAAGTCCTTGACATATGGTGCCAATTGTTCATCCCAGGGATTACGTGTTCCCCAGTACCATGTTCTCTCACTCTTCCTAAACAGTGTTTGGGCTGGCACTGCTAGAGGATGTTTGTGGGTGTGGGAGGGTATGGGATGTGGAACAGTTGGAGGGTGGACCAGAAGGGAGATAAAGTCTACCTGTAAAAAAAAGATTAAAGAATAAAAAAAAAGGTTGTAATTGCAATTAAGAACTTATCAAATTTCATGATGTTGTTTTTAGTGGCTGAGTAATATTCCATTGTGTAAATGTATCATATTTTCTTTATCCATTCTTCTGTGGAGGGACATCTAGGTTATTTCTAGTTTCTGGCAGGTTTATTATGAATAAACCTGCTATGAACACAGTTAAGCAAGTGTCTTTGTGGTATGGTAAAACATCTTTTGGGTATATGTCCAGGAGTGCTATAGCTGGGTCTTGAGGTAGAACTATCGTACTTTTCTGAGAAACTACCAAATTGATTTCCAAAGTAGTCACATAATTTTGTAGTCCCACTAATGATGAGTGAGTGTTACCCTTGTTCCACATCCTTCCTAGCATGTGTAGACAGTTGAGTTTTTGATCCTGGCCATTCTGATGGATATAAGATGGAATCTCAAAGTCATTCTGATTTTCATTTCCCTGATGACCAAAGATGTTGAGTTCTTCTTCTTTTATTAATTAATTATTTTATTTATTTACATCCCCCAAACTATCTACTCCTTGTCCCCCCTCATGCTTCTTGGGCATCAGAGATTCCTTCATTGAGAATTCTCTGTTTAGATCCATACCCCATTTTAAATTGGGTTACTTGTTTTGTTGATATCCAGTTTGCCATTTTGTCCTTTTAGGAGTGTTATTTGCCTTCCAGAATCTTTTCAGTGTGAGAGTACATGGAGAAAAAACTGGAATAGAGGGGAGGGGGAGCATCTCTAGAATTAGCTAGAAACCTAGAACAATGGAATGTCCCAGAATTCTATGAGGACTACCCTAGCTAAGACTCCTAGCAATGGGGAATATGGAGTCTGAAATGGTTATCTCTTGTAACCAGACTGAGACACCTACCCAGCCATGAAACCTCAGCTCTGCAATTTGTCCTGACTACAAGATGTACAAAGTACAAGATAAAGCAGAAATTGAGGGAATGGCCATCTAGTGACTGACCTAGATTGAGACACATACCATGAGAGAGAGCCTGACACTATTAATGATACTCTGTTATACTTGCAGACAAGCACTTAGATGACAGCATAACTGTAATCTGAGAGGCTCCTGTTAGCAACTGATGGAAATAGATGCAAAGACCCATGGCCAAACATTAGGTAGAGCTTGGGGAATCCTATTCAAAAGGGGAAGAATGGAAGGAGCCAGAGGGGTTAAGGATACCCCAAGAAAACATAAAGAATCAACTAACCTGGAACTAACCTTGACCCATAGGGGCCTGCAGAGAATGAACTGCTGAACAGAGAGCATTCATGAGATATACTTAGACCTTTGGCACATATGTAACAGTTGTGCAATTTGGTCTTCATGTGGGACTCCTAATAAAGGGCCTATATCTCATTCTGTTGTTTGTCTTTGGATCCCTTTCCCCTAAATGGACTGCCTTGCCTAATCCTACTGTAACTTAGTATACAAAAGTTTGTTGATATGAAGGCCTCCTGTTTTCTGAGGAGAAAGGGAGGATAGAGTGATGGGGACAGGGACTGAGGGGGACTGGGAGGAGAAGTTGGATGTGAAGATACAATGTGATTGAGGTGTAAAGTAAATTTTAAAAGTTCAAAAATAGGAGAGAGAGGGGAGAGAGAGAGAGAGAGAGAGAGAGAGAGAGAGAGAGAGAGAGGGGAGGGAGAAGGGGAGGGAGAGGGAGAAAAGGGAGGAGAGGGAGGGGGGGAGGGAGAGGGGAGGAGGAGGGGGAAGGGAAGGGAGAGGGAGAGGGGAGGGGAGGGGGGAGGGAGAGGGAGAGGGAGGAGGAACTTGGTGCAAGCAAAGATGGGCCTATCTGACCTTAGGAATGAAAATTCTTTACATGTGTCTATACACTGCTTACTCATAGTGATACAACATGATGTAAAACCTTGAAATGTTTGCTGGTATATGGAAGAAACATAGGGAAAATTGCTAAAAAAATAATTAAAAGTTAAAAAACAGGCAACAACTCAATCAGCATCCTGATGTATAAGAGTCATTCTGTTCTACAAATGTATTACAGACTTCAAGGGCATGAGAACTCAACTCAATAAATTGTCCCAGTATTTATAAATCAATATTAGAATCATTGATGTTGCAATGGTCCAGAGCAGGTACAGAGGGTGGGAGGGAACAGCTCCATTCCTGCCTTCTCAGATCTCTGAGATGCCTCGAGTTTTCACAGGCTCTACCTCCCCAGTTTTCTATGCGCATCTGGTATCACAGTTCACATGCTCTAGAATTTGTCTTCTTGATTTGAGGAAGGAACACATTGTGAAAGTCATTTGTACATTTAGCTAAGAGTTGATAGAACTGATTAAAAAAGAATTGCAGTTAGGCTGGTTATAATTGATATCTACTAAGAGAAAATGGCAAAATGTAGGAGAATACACTGACAAATGAAAAAAAAATGTATCTATGCCTAATTAAGGGCAAGAGATACCACAACATAGGAAGAAAGGACATTTCTGCTCTGAGTATTCTCAGGTTACCTCCACTTCTCCTACAGCATTCCAGGATTAAAATCATTCCCACAATTCCAATAAAACACCCTTATAAACATGGTGTGTCCCTAGATTCAAGAGGGTATACCCCATAAGACATCAAATGATCCTTTTTCAGAGGCTTGATTCTATACTTAAAAGAATTTATAGAATGTTTGAGAAAACTATTTGGAAACATGGCACATGCGTACAATGAAATTTTATTCAGTTATAAAGAAAAAAGAAATCGTAAAGTTTTCAGCTAAATAAATGAAACTGGGGGAAAATGATACTGAGTGAAGCAGTTCAGACCATATACAAAATTACTACATATTTTTTTCTCATATGTGGATCCTAGCCTCAAATCTTTTGATTGTGAGTTTAACTTGGCCATCAGAAGCCAGGTAGCTATAAAAGGGTTACTGGGAAGGGGGAAGGGGGACCTTAATGGGATTAGAGTTAGCAAAACACAAGTGGTATGTACTTCTACAGA